AACTTTTGCTGCAACCCTCAAACATAATTTAGAAAACTCAAGAGGAGAAAAACAGTGCATTGTATTTACCCATATTTGTGCTTACTATGTTTTTCCCTCCTTCCTAGTGCTCCAAAATTCCTTTTTTTTGTTGCTGTTTCATTTGTTTAGAAAATTTCTTTAGCCATTCTTTTAGGGTAGGTCTGCTGGTGACAAATTCGCTTAGCTTTTCTTTATCTAAAAAAAAAGTATTGATTTGTTCTTTATTCCTGAACGACATTGTCACTGGGTATAATATTACAGGTTGGCAGTTCTTTTCTTTCAGTATTTGAAAAACATTGTGCCACTTCCTTCTACCCTTCATGGTTTCTGATGAGAAATCCACTGTATTTAGAACAATTTTACCCCTATAGGGAAGGTGTGATATTTCTCTGGCTTCCTTCAAGATTTACAATTTGTCTTTAGTCTTAAGCAGCTGAATTATGTTGTGTGTTGGTGTGGGTTTCTTTGGGTTTTTCCTGTTTTAGATTCACTCAGCTTTATGAATCCATCTATAACTTTATGTCTCTTGCAAACTTCGGAAGTTTCCAACAATTATTTCGTTGAGCATTTGCCCACCATTATCTTCTCCTTCCGGGAATCCCCTGACACAAACTTTAAATGCTCTATCAGAGGCCCACGGGTCTCTGAGGCTCTATTCCTTTTTCCTTTTCCCAGGCTAGTTTTTCTTTGCCATTTGGACTGTGTCATTTCTGTGTTCCATCTTCCAGTTCACTGACTCTTTTCTCTGTTCCTTCCATTCTTGTGTCATACCCGTCAGTGAGTGTTTTATTTCAGAAATTTCAAACAAAAGGCTCTCCACTTGGCCTTTACTAGTGTTGGTGGGGACAAGGATAGGGCCGCAGTTTTTCTGTTGCGTTTGGCTGGAGTAGACTGGTTATTGTCTAAATGTTTTCTATGTTGCTAGGCAGCCCCTTTCTGAGTCCTTTGGATAAAAAACAGGCCATTGTTGGGGATTTCTTCCTTCCTTCCTTTCTTCCTTTTCCCTTCCCTTCCCCCCTCCCTTCTCTCTCTGCCTCTCCCTTCCTCTCCACTTCTTTTCTCTTCTCTTTTATTTTGTCTACACATGTTGACATTTTCAGGTTGCCAGTTACTTCAGTTCCACATCTGAGGTAATGTGGCAAAAAGAAAACTCAAGAAATTCACCTCTGTATTCTTCCTTAGGTTCTAAAATCCCTACTCTGTCCACATTCTTCTCACCACTTTCAGAATCTTAATAAGCTTGTACAGCTGACCCTTGAATAACATGGGTTTAAACTGCATGGGTCCATTTATATGCAGATTTTCTTCTGCCTCTGCCACGCCTGAGACAGTAAGACTAATTTCCCCTCTTCCTCTTCCTCCTTAGTCTAGTCAATATGAAGAAAAGACGATGAAAATCTTGATGATCCACTTCTACTTAATGCATAGTAAATATGTTTTCTCCTTTTTTGGAATGTTCTTAATGTTTTCTCTAGCTTTTTTTATTATAAGCATACATCACATATTACCTATGAAAAATATGTATTAATCAACTGTTTATGATGTCAATAAGGCTTCCCGTCAATAGCAGGCTACTGGTAAAGCGTGGGGGAGATAAAAGTATACATGAATTTTGTCGACATAGTGGTTGGCACCCCTACCTCCATGACTCCACGAGTCAACTGTACAATATGCAATGTGTAGGCTTTTTAGTGTAGTTGCTGGGAGGAAGAGGGAAAAGTATGTCTACTCCAGCTTCCCAGAAGCAGAATGTGTGCTAGATCATTCGTTTTTCAATGTCTCTATTTTTTTCCATTTTCCTTTAATTCTTTAAAGTTCTTAAAGTCTTGCCAACAACAAAACTGAACAGATGAGTGTGTAATGAAAAGAACTATACTCTAAAAGTGCTTTCTAAGTGGCCTGTGGGCATGTTCTCCCGGAATTGAGAATTCTATGAAATTTTTTTAGATGTGACATCAATGCTATTATAATCTTACAAATACCCTTTGCCAGTTAAATAGACAAACTCGCTTTTTAAAATTATGACATTTCATAAGACTATGGTCTCAAGCTACAGTTCCCCAAAGTACCTGGGGTGAGGCACTAAAACTAATCTCCTCCTCAAAGAAGGTGAAACTAAGTGTGAGAGATACTGCTCAATATGCGGGGTGAGCATTGCCTCAGTGTTCCTAGGATACTCCCAACATATACCTTTTGTCCTGGATTAATTATTGATAGGGTATTCTTTTATACTTACAATATCTAATTTTGTATGATAAGCTAATATATATGCTCATATCACCTATAATAATGAAAATGAAAACAGGAGGAAAACACCCAGCAAGCACAGATACCACCCCAGTCATCGCCTCTTCAGGACACCACGGTGTATATTTACTATTCATCAGTGGAAGCATTAAGTAGCTCATATGCAAGGTCCATCTTCTTTTTCTCAGCAGCAACTTATTATTACATATTTTGTGCTTATACTGTGAAATATAGCACCTGTAATGATAATGAGTAACTAAAAGGTATTGACTAAATAGTTGCAAACATATGTTCTAAGATTATACAAGAATATCAAAGGATGCTAAAATTCTGCCAGTTGTACACTTAAAGAAAACACAGACATCAATTTGCAATTACATGTGTAACTTCCTAGTCTTTACAGTGAAACTCTTCTATGAACAAAGTTTGCCAACTTCTCGGCACCTAAATCTTTTAACTGTGATTTAATATAAGTTCCATAATTATCAACTTTTCTTTTTCAGTGTCCTCAGACATAAGTTCTCAATAGCCGGTTAGACATCTCCAAACACATGTACTCAGCTGGCATCAACTCCCATCATGTTGGAACAATGCTGCACCCTTCTCCCAACCAAACTGGGTCTTCAGACTTCCCATTTCCTTCTATGGCAACCCATTTTTCTCTAGTTCCCCACCAATGAAACTTCAATGCCAAGTCAGTCAAGGTTATGTGAAATATAGCCCATATTTTCTTTTTTGTCCAATCTTCAACATCTCCTTCAGGTTCTAGAAGAACAAGAACCCACCCACCCTTTTCAGCAAGCATTCTCTATGCTCATTCCTCCATTCCTGCATCTACAGAATCCTACCTCAATTCAATTCATCCATGAAGTTCTTCCTGGTGACTTCCAACCAGATGTGTTTTCTCCACCTTTAAAACTTCATAATATTTTCAGATGCGATATGGCAGTTATGTTTCATATTCATGTATTATAGCTATTAGGTTGAACCACATGAAATTGTTGAACTGATAAAAATGGCAGTCCCATATGGCTCAATCTAATATTTCTCTTGGTTTTAGGGCTCATAAATAAAGAGCAGTCTCCATGAAAACAGGGGCTGAGTTATGTCTCTCTTTTGGATCCCCTGAGAAGCCTAGGACATTGGAAGGGCTTAAAAAGTGTTTGTCAAAATAAAGACTCATAAATCAACACATGTCTTATGCATATATGTTTGCAAAGTCAATCCTCTGAAGCAATTAGTCTAACTACATACGAAATCACTAATTGTTATACGAATCAGCACAAATGGCAGTTTAGAACCTGAAGGTTCTGGCAATATAAAATGTTTTGATTCAAGGAGCTGTTTTAAAATTATTTATTTGTGAAGGAAACATCCTTGGATTTAGAAGTTGGCAGATACAGTGAAAAGCTTTTTAGCTGACTGAAATAGAAAAAAAAAATCAAAACACTTTTTAGCACATGCACTTCCCTTATAAAATCAAATTGCCTAAAAGCAGAGCCCAGCAGTTTGTGCACAATGAGTGTGTGCCTCAACACCATCAGCAGGAGATGCAAACTGCAGAACGACAGGAACAATTTGCATTTCTATAGCTTCTTTGTATACCCAAACTCTGAGAGCATTTTACAAAGCCATAAATATCATCACCCGGAAGAGACTGGGAAAGGATGCAGATACAAGGACGGACTTTGTGTACCCTGACCCAGGAGTACCCCTGTGCGGAGCAGTGGTCCCCATACAGCTGTAAACCTGAGTGCCATTAATTGACGCTGGTTAAGAAAAGGGGAACACATATCTGCAGGGTCCGTAACAGTCACAGGAACCATTCCCAGAAAGCGTTTGTCTTTCTTGCATTCACAAAGAATAACGTCAACAAATGGTGAGCTGTATTTGCGAGTTTCCCCAACAAAGGACTGGTCTCTAGTTCTAGGTGATGGTGGTATTATCAGTCACCTCACCAGTTCCCCCTGATTCCTACAAAGATCACAAATCCGAATGACAAGTGTGTAGGGCTTTCATGGGGCTAGGAGCAGTGGGCTGCCAGAAGCTCTGCTGGGGCCAGGAGAGAGGAGAGCATCATTCACTCTTATTATGTTGCAGGGGCCTATTTCCAGGGACAATTTTACTGAACCTTAGAGAAATTCAATGCAAAGGTATACTTCTGTTGTGCTCCAGGCTTCCTTCCCCACCAGCTGCGGAACTGTGCAATTCTGGTCCCGGCCAAGCAGTGTCCAAAGCTAGTTGCCAGTGAGGCCTGGAGCCCACACCTCCTCTAGCATAGCATAGCAGCAGCCCTCACTATCCTCCAGGGGTCACAATTGGGTTACGAATTCCTCACAGTGCAGGGACTGAGCAGCCTGACTGGGAACAATTTATTCGAATCCTTCTTCATTAAGATTCAAATGGAATAAGTAAGGCAGAAATTGAACAGACACAGAAATTGTGCCTTGCTGCTCCTGTAGTCAGTAAACATTTATTCACTAAGCCTAGCTCGTGTGTTCTTTCTCCCTCTCTCTCTCTCACACAGTTGTTCTTCCAATCTTTCCTGCTTGCTGTTTTAATGCATAATTAAGAAGGTCAGAATTAATGAAGCAGTGTGGAGTAAAGTTCAAGGAATCCCCAGGCACTATTTATTCTATTAGATCTCAGGCATGAATGTCAGATTGGCAGCGCAGGCGGCATGAGCAATGGAGCCGGCGGCATCCCAGGAAGGGCCACCAAGGGAGACTCACCTGCACAGTCCAGTCATTCCTCAGCTCCTTCCCTGCGAAAATCACACGCAACTGGTCAGTCGGAACCCCCTGTCGCTTAGCAACCACCTCCTTGAGCTGGAAGATGCTGGTGTCAGAATCGACCTCCACGGGGAAACCATGGCTGGAGTTGAACCTGACAAACACTGACCAAGGAAATTGGAAGGGAGAAAGGAAGTGAGCATCACTTGAAGCCCTTAAATGGCCATAGCAACATTTCTCAACCGACTTACCCCTTGCGGCCTTTCAGTGAATGGCATATATTTTATTTCACTTAAACAACAAAAAACTTAATGCTATAGAGCAATATTTGTGAAAAACAGAGTTGCCCATGAGATTTCCCTTTCATATATTCGTCAGTGACCTGCAAACCAAAATTGCATTTTCCCTTTGACATCCATCCTGAGAAACAGAGAGGCTTGAGCAGGACACTTGCCTGATTGGAATTGAAAGAGTCCCATGAGTTTATTGAAAAGACTCAGCTCTGACAGCTTGTACACACTCACGCTCCCTCCACAGTGAAGCTCTTAATAAAAATAGGAGGCAATGGATTAGCACTCAAGGTAGAGCAATGGAAAAAATCCAAGCTGCTCTCTAGACCAGAGCGAAGACCCACTAGGGGCTATGGCTCAGAGCCCTAGACTTGGATGGTCCTGGCCAAAATGCTCCACTGGGTCTATGAAGACAATTACTTGCCCTTTCTTTTGGAAGGGAGGGGGTGGGGATGCTGGTGACACCATTTGTCTTACTGAAGCCACTGTTCCCCATGAGACCCAGGCTGCATCCTCTGGTCTGTTTGCATGCTGTCTTCTCACCGCACCTGCTGTCCCACCTCTTCAGTGTCTCTCATCTGCCCTTTCCTTTCCATTCTTTCTCTCACTGCTCAAAGTCACACTCTCATCACATCTTTTCTAGAGCCTCATAATAGCCCCCAACTGGAGTTTGGATCCAGTCCTTTCACCTCCAAAAGGCCCGACATAGTTCTGCAAAATGAGCCTTATTACTACACAGCTATGTCGCACCACGCAAATCCTTTAAGCCTCACACTGTTGGCTGGTGAGGAAAGACTCCAAGATCCCTTTCATCTAGCACAAACCTATATTCCAGCACTTTCTTCATTAGTCTCCATGTGTACTCTGTTTAAAAAAAAAAAATCACAGAAAACTGCTGCATACAACTTCTTGCTTTTATTCATGACCTCCCTCCTTCTCCTCTTCCTATTGAAATCCTGCCTACCCCCATGGCCCACTTCAAATGTGACCTCCTCCAAGAAGCCTCTGGCTATCAGCTCCTGCAAAAGCCTGATCTTCCCTATTCAGGGCACCAGCGGCATTTACTATGTACATCTTATAATATCCCACACATTCCTTGTGGAAGCAGGATGGCCTAAGGGTTAAAAGTACATCCTGCAGCGTTAGGAAGACCTATGCAAAAATTCCCACAGACTCCTTTAACTGGC